GGCCCAACCTTTGTGTTGAGATCTGGATTTAATAGCCAACTATCAAAAGCCCGGAAGTTTAGTAAATGCGTTAAGAGAAGCACCTGGCGCTCGAAAGACAGCAGAGGTGTAAAAAACAACCAGTTGCCATCGATCAGCCGTATGATCGATGGGGCCATTCATATTGGGCCCACAGCCGTTCGTCAACAGTTCTTTTGTGACGTTCCTCAGGAATAGACAAATTAGCACCGACTTGGATCAGTGTTTTTTATGAACGATGTGCCGTAGTAGGTTATTGTCAGGGCGAGTTTTTACAAGCCCTTAAAGCTACCATGTTTTACATTTTCGCCAAACTTCTTTAGAGAATCCTAATTTGAACTTTTTTCCTTTGAACTTCTTTCTCTTCTTTTTTACCTTCCACCATCCACATTTCGACATTTCCGCCAGACACCGCGATTTTTTAAAGATTACTGCATCCCCCGCCAGCCTTACCACAGCTGAACGGGTTATGTTCGATGGGCATTTTTTTGTGTGTGGGCTCTACAGGGGGAAAGATGTGAGCACAAGTGTTTTCAATCTGGGCCCATCCACCAGACGAAAGGCCCGCCTGCAACCCGGCCGCAGTTTATATAGGCTGGATTGGTGGCTGGGGCAGTGGCAGTCAGCTTTGTATTACTCGGCTTGGCTGTAGGTCGTTGTATTCTTTTAGCTCTTTAGCAATAGATTCTTTAAAGATTTACGAAAATTATTAATAATTTGCGGTAACGATTTTTTTGAAAATATGATATAAGAAAAGATCTTTGTAGAATGAATATAAAATCTTTGTAAAAAAGCTATTGGTCGCAGAGATCAAGATCTACGTTGATGTTAGGATATGAATACTTGTCTTAATGGAGAGCCTTTTTTAAGAGATCTGGAAATTATAATTTTCGAAATTTTTGACTTCTATTAATCATTTTCACCAGTGCAGGTAAACAGTCCCAAGCCAAATATTGAATCGCATTAAATTCTAAACCTAATACGCTTAACAGCCCTTTCAATTGGTTAAGCCAACAACCAACCTAGCCGTGGGCCAGGATGAACACCTGAGCACAGCGCCGCCCCACCCTAGCAAGTTGTTTATCAGTCGGCACCTTTATGCCCCAATTCCCCCATCCTCCCGACTAGAAAGCCTCCTTCCCGGAAGACGGATCCCGAGCAAATTGGGCACCTTATTTATGAGTTGTTGGAGAAAGAGGGTATGGGGCCTTTGGGCCCTCTCCACCTTCGGTGAGTACGGTGTAAAGAGTGATAGCACCTGGCAGTTTGCGAGATTGCCGCCCCAAGCAGTCACTTGATATCTAAATAGGCCCCCAATAAAAAGATGGGCAGCCAAATTTTGGAGGCTGTTTTGAAGAGCTCTTAGTCAAGAAAAACTGTAGAGTTTTAGTAGTAAAAAACTAGGTATTAGTATTATAGCTATTTTTACTATAGTTTGACAACTGGGAACCGGAAGAATTTCTATTTTTAAAAGAACTCCGAACCTCAGTTTCAGATACAAAGAATAGAAGTTTTAGCCTATTAGCGTAGAATTTCTAGATTTCCAGCCCGGTTAGCGCTGGATTTGAAACATCCGTAGATAACAACAAGGTCTAAACTAGCCCGCTTATTTGTGCAAAAGAGTGCGTTAAATAACCTGCAAGCGTCAAGTCCATAGCACCTAACCCCGCAAAAATAATGTAATAAAATACGCCTCTAATTAATTACAATCCCAACTAAAATTTGTGCGCGGCGATCGTGGTGGTGGAGGTGGTGAGATGAAGAGGGTGGCGGATGTTATTACAACCCATTCTCCATCAGCAACTGAGGGTCCATCTTCCTTCACCACCACCCATCTACCCCCGCCATCACACCTCGATCATCTCCATCTTGTGCGTGTGTTGGCGGGTCGCGCTACCAGCTAGACTCGCCATTCACCTTCCCCTAAACCGCCAGTTGATAAACGGCCCCCAGCTTTCAGATTTATTGTCGTACGGCTTAAGCCCGGTTTTTGCGGCGTTACTTTGATTCTTTCGCTTCAAATGTTCATTTAATCTTGAAAGCTTGTGAATTCCCTTTTCCGCATTAATTTTATTTCTGCTATAACTAATTTATGCTAAATTTTGTGCTAGAATTATGCACTTTTTGGCGCTATACCAATGGCGTTGACAAGTCGTAAAATAGCAAAAACACCCAAAAACTGGCTTACTCCATTTTTGCTCGCCTTTTTTGTTCCGCTAAAATTGTTTGATATTGCGATATTTTAAGCTGCAATAAACACCCTTCAAGAAACTATTTCCAAAATCTACGTTTCGATTTCAGTCTTTTGTCTCGCTTTAAACTAGGCTATCACCCTATTATCTCGCATGTTCCCGACGTCATTTAAATTGCGTAGCCGTTGATATTATTTTCCCCGCTGCTTATTTATTGCCAGTTATTTATCAATTCGACCTATTATTGGACCCCCTCAATGAACTTGCCTCCCAGTGCGCAGCCCGAATTGCGCAAGTGATACGGTCATATCGAATCTTGCTGAAGGTCCCAGTATCATCTGTTCAATTCTCCAATATCTAGTTGAATTCTACATCTGGCTATTTTTTTTTGTGTAAATCGTTCATACTTGGATTAATATTTACTTTTCCAAGCCACAGAATTTCCAATTTTCGATTTAGAAGCTTTGAGAAATTACCGTACCTCTCGCTTTCCTTACTATTCTTATTGCCTAATCAACAGTAATACAGTTCCTCAAAATACCCCATCACAGCCACTATGCCCTCACTCCTTTTTTCCGTCGTTTGTGTTTATAAAAAGTTAGGCCCTTTCGCTATTTGTCACGATTGCGATACGAATTGGGGTGGTGCTGGAAATTAAACACATCGTTGGCGTTCCTTCTTTTTTGTCTGTTGTTTCGGGCGTTCCCCGTCAGCCCGTGTGGTTGGTGGGCCTAGACTGGCTGGGGGTGAAAGCTTTCGGTGGGAATTTTGAAATCAGAGATGGTGGTCCGGGCTGCTTCGCAACTTTTTGGGGTGTTTCAAAAACACGACCCTGATAACTAAAAACGGTAGCGTTAAACCGAAGTCAGCTACGCTCTTTTGCCTGAAAATACAGAATTTCCGAATTAGCTGAATGATAATGGTCCGATTCTGACCTTTTTAATAGCTACTTTTTCAGCCGCTAATACTTTTCATTACTTTAACATCAACAACCGTGGCCAATTTTTTCATCAATCTAAAGAGCTTTGGACCCGCGTTCCAATCGTAAAATGACTTTTACACAAGGTGCCTCCATTGCCAGCTCTTTTTCTCCAAATGTCTTTTTTACCATTCCATTGCATCGTTTTTCATAATCAACTATAACCAGGGTTGAAAAGCCGCTTCGCGACTTTTCAACCCTGGCCTTGTCTATCCCCCATAATATTCTTCTTTCTGCATAGGTCTCTCGAATCCCGATGAGAAGAAATGAAAAATGTCACTCTCTACCTGATTAAATAGGCTACCGCCACTTCCGGTGCATGCTAATTGTTTCCTAACAAAGAGGGTGTCCGAAATTTTTACAAAAACTGTAATTTAATGTCTAAAACAATTAATTTTGTAAAATCTGATAAGCGTGCAGGCATTCCAGAGCCATTACGCATCTAATGACATATCATATATACCTTAAAATTTATTTCCTATCGAGATATCCTCCGGACATGGTGACGGAAGTTGCATGCAAAGTATCACACACACACACACAAACACTATTTTTTTATATATAGTAGGATAATTTTGCTGTGGTCTCCGTCCGTCCGTCCGTCCGTCTGTCTGAAGCCGAATTCAACTCGAAGGGGAAAGGAGCTAGAGCTTAGCTCTCTTCGGATTCGAATAGAGCGTGGTCAGAAACCCCCAAACTGATAAAAAAATTATGAAAAACTTTTAGTTTAAATTATTAAAATTAACTTTGAAAGTTTTTTCCTTAGTAAAAGGGGTGGGGGCCCCTCTCCCGGGAGGCCACGCCCCCTTTCCCCTCGCCCCTCTTCGCCAGGCCCCTTCGCGCGCCCAGATCTCTTTCTTAAGTTACTTTAATACTTTTTAATACTTTCAATACTTTTTAATACTTTTTAATTATGTTAATTAATTATTTAAATCATCTAAAGTCATCGGGAAGGTATTTAGGTAGTTTTTGAAGGGGATTTCAGCCATGGGGGGTATCTAAAGCCATCGGGAAGGTATTTAGGTAGTTTTTGAAGGGGATTTCGGCTATGGGGGGTATCTGAAGCCATGAGGAAGGTATTTAGGTAGTTTTTGAAGGGGATTTCAGCCATGGGGGGTATTGTTGGAGGTGGGAAAGGATGTGGTGGAGTGGGACATGTAGGGTAGCCCGAAGGCCAGATGGTTGCAGTCGCGAAGCGACTGTAACCATCTGGTTTTCCATATGGGGCCATTGCTTTTTTATTGGCAAGAATTTACAATACCAACCTATCAGAAATTTTTTAACGCTATTTGATAAAAAGACTAAAATTGTAATAATAATTTTTGCCCAAAATAACGTAAAAATAGCGATGACCTACCTGGATTCGCATAAAGTGTTAAGCACTGATTGAATTTTAAAGTTTTTAAGATTGTTGAATTCGCACATTGTTATTGAATATTAAAAAAAAAATTGGACCCTCCGTCTAGGCGGGGACTTTTTATTTGATCAAATTTCCACCCTGGGTTTTTAGCGAGTCTCCAGATCAATGGTCACTCTCGGTTGTCCCTTTCTCCTTAACGCCCAAGGGCCCATCCTTGTTGTGTCTGTCACTACCACCGGTCATTCTATCCCATCATCGTCTCCAATTACCCTCTTCACTCGTTTTTGCCTCCCCTTCCTCGGGCTCAAAATCTAAAAAATGTTGCAGAAGACGCGAGGATTTTCTCGAAACACGGGAAAATTCGCGGAATAGAGGAGACCCGGAGCTAACGAAAGGCATGAATGAGGGAATTCTGTAGCTGATTTGCAAGTTTAGATCCGAAGGGGTCGTGATGCGGACGCGGTTTCGACTGCAGGCCGCGATCGGCCCATTACTTGTGCTCGCATTAGCAGCAATATTCGCTAGCTGCCAGGTAAGCAATAATTTAAATAAATGGGGGAACCGGTTATGGAAAAAAATATGGAAAAGCGTTGTTATGAAAACCACCTAATAATAATTTTTTTAGGAAGTGACCAACGAGCACGAGACAAGCCTCGCACAAGATTTACAAATCCAAGAATGGATGCGAGAACTGCGTCGAGCCAAAAGGGCTACTTCCAAAAGTGAGTCACGGGAAAAGCTCTCTTTGCCGTAATATTTTAGAAAATCAGCTGATACGAATTCATAGACCTTCCCAAGGCAAAGAGAGTCCTATTTTTATTTCGCCGTTATTGCTCTAGAAATTCCGATTCACTCATCAATGAGTTTGATTATTATCGTATTTTCCTTGCCTTGATCACACTAGACATTGTCGAAATCTTATTAATCCATTTCCTCCACCGCGAACTCCTTTCACGATCACATTTCTCATCTTTCCATCACCACTTTTTCCGATGGCCAACCAAGCCCGGATCTAACCATACAGCAGCGATGCCGATTCAATGATGAAAGTGGCCGGCTGCCAGGTATCCGCCCAAAGCCCGTTTCCTATTCAGTGCCCCAACCGCCATGCACCACGCGCAAGCGCTCAGCCAAGGGGCTATCCAGTGAGTACCGTAGACCGGCAGGTTTTTCGGTTTTTCGGCGCGGTCCTCGGACTGATTACCGGAGATCCAGCGTGTAGTTCTTCTCGGCGCGTGGCTCTCCTGTCTGCTAGGACAAAATTGGAACTACCATCGTTTTTGCGTGACTTCGTCATACTCCTACCTTTACTATTATCGCGTTTTTCCTGCCGTGGTGCCGCCCACGCATTACTATCAATTCAATAAATAGACATCTAATTAAATTATCAGCTAAGGAAAACGATGTTTTTGCTTTGTGTATTTTAAATTCATTTTTTCTATCGTTGGAAGATTCATATATAAATCTTCGCAAACGCCGTTAATTATTTTTTTCTAGTATATTATTACAATTTGGTCGCTTAGATGTTAGATGTCTATTTTGCGGATATCCCTGCCCCCCATTAAAACCCTATCCTTCAAAATCTGGGTTTGTCCGTTTGGGGGTAGCTAGAAACCAGAAAGCGCGCTAACAATGTACAAATAACGGACAACACCCATAATAACTTTCACTACTTTACTGATATAATGGCATAGACACCCAATTGGCGATCGCCGTGCTGCCCGGGTTCGACTTGAAGAAGTTGCCCCGCGAGCTGTGGGATCGTGAATTCGGCGGAAGTGATCCGATGAAGAGACGACGGAGGGGACGGATCTCACGCGTGAAACGTCGCACCTTCTGCCCTCTTCTCGGTAGCCCCATCTCTTTTTTACTCCTTTTCTTTGCCACTTCTAAGCTTTGCACCAAGCACTGCATTTTCTCGCGCATCGTCCTTTTTTGAAATTTATTGCCCCTGTCCATTTTTTCTGTCAGCCCATTCTTTAGGGCTTTTAACACTTTCGATGATGACCAAAAATTTTATTTTTGAGGGTGATTTTCGAATTTTTTTGCGCTTTGGTGCGTTCGTAGAAATTGGTTACTAAAATGTTAGAATCCGAAATCAACCGAGGGACTTTATCGTCTCGGCTTTTTTTTTCCAATTAAGAATTAGCTTTTTGAAACTGAAGCTAAGAACGCTTCCATCGAATTAAAGCTAGGGATCGCTGCAAGCTCCTTTATTTCCTTTTTGCGTCTGAATCATTTTCAATATCGTTTTCAATTATTTCCTAGCTAGAGATTATCCGAATCCTGTCAATCTTTCTTTATTTCCATCAATTCTCTTTTTGTTCTTTTTCTGTGTGTACTTACAATCGATTTGATTTCTCGAATCTTGGGACTGTCTTTGGGTCGGTGCAAATGGTTTGGTTGAACGGTTTGAAGGTAATGGGAAGGCGATAGGGAGTGTAGAGCGTCAAAAGAAACAAGAAACTATATTATTTGCGCGGATATTCAGATCCGCGGTCATCGTTGCCGCCCACGGTGGTGCTGGGGTCAAACCACACGGGGCGGTGCGTCCTCTCCGCCGATCAGGCGTCTCACTTCTGCGGCGTCGAAGAAGGTCCCAAAAACACATACCATACCATACACCCTAATACATCTGATGTACACACTCACTACCTACCGCCAATTTTACCCCCAACGCCTAACCTGCATAATGCTGTGTGGTCGCCGAAAGATTGAAATTGCAGAGTAGTTGTTTGGAATTTTGCAACTTGTTCAAAAGATAAAATTGGTCTGGTTCGTAAGGGCGGGGGACTAACCTAGCTGAAGCTCTAGTTTTTTGATCCTTCTTTGATTGCTAAACACTTATCAAAACATTTTTTGAATTCCGAATTAAAATATTTGTGAACATTTTTGACATTTTACGAAGCCAAAATTTTAATCATCTTTAATGAACCGATATTTCATTCTAACGTATAGTTCTTTCTCGTCAGTACTTTTCAACTTTTCAAAAAAGACAAAAATGCTATAAGATAGTTATATTTTAATATTTGGTGTATATGGGAACCTGGGGTAAATTTAATTGCTTAACCCCTTCCCCCCTGCTAACAAACTAGTGCGTTTGCGACATTTTCACCGTAATTCAAAAAACCAAAACAAATCCTAGCTTTCACTGCAAAAACAATTTCTGCAATCACACAATTTGCACGCCTTGCCTGGGCATAGCATAATTCCGACACCGGCCTCCGTTCCTGAGTTTCCAACCGTTTCCGTTACGTTAAAGCACCAAAGCTTCGCTAACCTTTCCCGTTTCACGTCAGCTTCCCTAACCTTTATTTTGGTTGGCGTGTCTTAACTGTGGTTTGGTTGCAAGAGTGCAATCCTAATTTTAGTGTCATCGCCGCCAATTCCACCACCCGAGGCTGGGAAGTGCATCACTTCTAATGGGGGTAGAGAGGTGAGTTGAAAAACTGATTTCTAAAAATAACCTAACACAACAAACTAAATTAAGACTTAATTAAGTAATTCGTAAATTTCAAACGCTATATTTTTCTAAAAAGATTTTCCATTAAACTTTTTATTAGATCTGCTACCCAGCCTATGAGGACCTTGACACCTCATGTACAGATGTCGGGGGTGGATCAAGCGTCGGACTTGTCGCGCCACCAAAAGTGGAACACGCCACGTTAGTTCTCCTAAATTTCCTAAACTACTGATCTTCTAGTGTACGCGCGATGGCATTTGTCCCACCGGACAACTTGCGCCGGCTCATCATCCAATACTATCGGCAACACGGGAAAGCGTTGCCAAAGAATACGACTTTTCCCGGAAAGTAGGCCTCCCCATTGAATAGCTTAACAAAAATTCAGGTCGTTTCTTTTTGTTAAATATCACTGCGAAACCGGGTACGACATGCGGGACGAGGTGAGTGGGGGATGTTCTGTTCATTTGAAATCACGCAGATTGACACGATGTTCTGTCAAAACAGCGAATGGGTAAAAACGAGGCCAGAATGCGTCGGACGAGGTTGGTCGCATTGATAAATTGCTAATATCTGCAAATTCAGGGAAATGTGCTGGGGATAATGGGGGTTGTTCACACACATGTGTCTCATATGATGACAAAGCTGAATGCCGGTGTCCCAGGGGACTTACCTTGGATGTCGATGGGAAAACTTGTATCAGTAAGTCCCAGCGCTTACTTAGTACCGCGGCAAGTCATTATTTCAGCACGTACCAATCAATTGCCACCCATTTTTAGAGCCGATGCCACAAGAACTTTGCCGCCGTGTAAAAGGCTGCTCTTGTAATTCGATCGACGATGTTCAATATTCATGTACTTGCCCCATGGGCGTTAAATGTTTATGTAAGCTTTTATACCAAGAAACAATTATATCAATGATCCGTTTCAGTAAAAAGAGGGCCTCCGAAGATCTATCTCAACCCGCCGGGCCCTTTTGAAGTTGCTCCTGGCGGTAATGTGAACATCACCTGTGCCACCGTTGGATACCCGTTTCCCGAAATTTATTGGCAAAGGTATCTCCGAAAATTATGGAGGATCAAACTACTTACTTTAGGGAAGATGAGGAGGAAAATCGAATTCCGGTACCGGCCGGAAATGCCAAGGCCGAGCAAATTCTGATGTTGAAGGAGTTGAACAAAAACACGAAATTTACTTGCTACGCCTCGAACGAAATGGGATCTGCGAATCGAACTGTACATATTATCATCACCGGTAGGTGTCATAAAATTGTGTTAAAATGAGTATAACGAACTAACAAAAACGGAGAGAATGTCTTGAAATACTCTTTCTGTCTTCGAGCCTACCAAAAAAAACGCAAATTTAGGACCTGGCCAATCACCGATCTTACGCGGAGTTAAATCTGGAAGGACCGATATTAGGTGAGCCATTAAGACAATTGCGAATAAACGGAAATTAAGCGTCCGATGGGATCCACCATCTATTTTGAACCGACCGATCACCACCTACACCGTCTACTACACACCCATCCCAAATGCACCTATGGATAAATGGAAGAAAGTTGAGATTTCAGGTATTTACTTTGCTCCTAATTTATCAAACAGTTCTAGAACCCACTCGTGAGGCAACAATTCCTGGGTTAAAGCCGAACACAAACTACCGTGTTCGGTTAAGGGCACACGATGCGATGGGACCTGGAAAACTTGGATCGCCAGTAAACGTTCAAACACTAGCCGCTGGTTAGTTTTATTAATGAATTAGCTTATTAAAACAAGTTTCCAGCCAAACCGCCACGAGTTATCATCCGGCAAGGCGGTGAGCTGAAGGTCGCACCCCTGAAACCCTTTGAACTGGAATGCAAAGTGACGAGCGCCGATCCGATTCCGCTTGTTTCATGGAGACACAAGTAAGATAGCTTGATTTTCAGTAAATCGGCTGACTTCGCCTTGAATTTTACCATTAAAAGGGATTGATTTCTAGAAACCACATCATGCAAACCGGAGGCCACATCACGTCTGTACGACTGAAGCACGGCGGTCTCCTCGAAACCACAAATTTGACTTGCCATGCCGAAAATGAAGCAGGAACTGGGAAAGCGGATATTCGAATTTTGATTACTGGTTTGCTAAAGTGCAGTTTATAAACCTAAAGTTCAGGTCCCGGAGCTCCGGAGCGAATTCGTTATTCGGTCGAAGGAGACAAAGTACATTTGCAATGGGAACCACCAAAGTACAACATTTTTGACAATTTTTCATAACATTCTTTAGGGTGACGAATGGTCCTCTAGTTGGCTACGATGTCCTCTACACGGATATGCCTATTCTTCCCGAAGAGGAGTGGCAGGTAAAGCTGCTTAAAGCAACTGACTAATCGTAGCGTTAGCTGGTGATTTGACTCACAATCAGCCAGTGCTCGCGGTCATTCCAGTTTTTTAGGTATTCCCGGTGAACACTGGACACGCAAAGGGTGTAACAGTTCCCAACCTCAAGGAAAAGCAAAACTACACGTTTGCCATCCGCGGCCGAAATCGGCATGGGCCCGGCTTGCTCGGACCAAAATTTGCTGCCAAGACCTGGCTGGGCGCAAAGGCTCCAACCGTCGAACTCACCCCATCAGAAAAACAAGAACTTCCGCCAACGCAAGACGAATTGTCGGTGGAATGTACGGCAAATGGTGTGCCAAAGCCGAAAATCATTTGGTTATGGAATGGGCAGTTGGTTGAAGATGGAAAGGTATGCTCAAAGACGAACTTAAATATTCAAAAATGCTAACCGACCTCGAATTCCAGGACGAATTCCGGCACTATGATACCACACCAGCCGAAGTGAAGGATTATGCGTCAAGCAAGCTGATTGCACAATCAACGACCAGGACTGGGCATTTGACCTGTCAAGCCATCAATGAAGTTGGATCCAACCAGCAGGTGCTCGATGTGACTGTTCTTGGCCCCGGATCACCACCGCAAAATATCCACACCTCTCCGATGCACCAAGGATTCAATGTTTCTTGGCTGCCACCAAAACAGCCTAATGGGGTCATCAAGGTCGGTCACAGTTACGGTCACATTTACTTAAACAGACGCGATTCGCTGATTGCAAATTCTCAATTCAGAACTACATCATCTACTACACGAAAGATCCAGAACAGGACATTGGAGACTGGGAAACCATGTCTGTTGGAGAATCAGCAAGGTCAGAAATGTTAGAGAATCAAAACCGCATCCAATAACAAAAACCGTTTTACATATTCGTGACAGGAACGCCACCGTTTCCGTTGATGAGGAAGATACCCCTTATACCGTCAAATTGCAAGCAGTTTCCAATGATGGTCCGGGTATCATATCGAATGCATATGACGTCACTACAGGCCGCAAGCGTAAGCATTATCAATCATTATAAATATTCTAGCTACTGCCCTTTGTTGCGCCATACATAATCTTTCTTTAGAAGTGCCACTTTCCGTCAAGATTGTTATCACCAAGCCAGAATTTGAAGAGGGTCAGGACGAAGCTGAAGTGGGTTGACAGGAAGCTAAATAACATAAATTAGTTTCAAGCTAATTTGCATATTTTTAGGTGGCGCCAGCGCAACCTATTCATTTCCGGTGTGTTGCTGCTGGCCGCCCGATGCCTTCGGTCACTTATTCGTGGCTTCCGGTGAATCCGTCTGAAGGATCAGGAGACGTGAGTTTTGATATTGCAAAAGATATACATAAACAACGTAAACGTGTAATGTTGCTATTAAAAAGTCGTCGTATGAACGGCTGTGGGGGGGCTGGTTTTTGGGCGAAAAGAGACCGTGTTGGGCTGTCCTGTGGGCTGATAGAGCCACTTCTCGCTGACCAGGCACCTGCGTTCGTGGTGTAATGGTCAGCATGGATGCCTTCCAAGCATTCGACGGGGGTTCGATTCCCCCGAACGCAAATTTTTTGCTATTTTCGGAAATAGCTACACAAAGGCGTATTGGTTTTCACTTCCTTTTGCCCTGACTACAGAACTGTCTTTAGGAACCCGTCCCGATGCCAGTAAATCCGGAAGAAGACAACCCGCATCACTATGAATCTATCGAAGTACAATGTTCCTTCGCTTATAATTTTGGTTTCCAGGTCTACTCCACCACTTCATCGCCTAGGAAACTTCTATGCCAGGCACGCAATCAGGACGGCACGGTGGAGGACAGCAAGACGTTCATTGTCAAACGTACGTACACCATAGGTTTTCTACACCTTTGATGCAGAACCCGGTAGCCCACCGAAGGATGTGGAAGCTGTTGTTGACACTGACAACCGTGTCACGCTCTCCTGGGCTCCCCCGAAATATCCAAACGGTGACGTCAAGGTATGTGTTTTAACTATATAGATTCTTACGATTGATCTTCACAGGGATATACTGTCTACCTGACCGGCGACCCATCGAAGCCGGTAGAAGAATGGCAGGTATGTGAAAAAATAACAGTTTTGAAGGCGCTTCTCTAATGATCGTTGAATTGTTCAGGTCTTTAAAATCGAGGACCCATCCAAGCCGTCGATTGTATTCCTTCGCGGCGAGCTCGAGCCCGACACCCCGTATTACATTAGGGTGTCGGCGAGTAACGACGCTGGCGAAGGGGTACTTTCTGACCCACATCATTTCAACACTGTTTCTGGTGGTAAGTCAAGTCAAGCCAATTACATATTCTACAAAATTACCGTTTCACAGCGATACTGTATATGCATATTTTCTCCGTCCGCATGGTCGACCAATCTTGATTAAACGTAAAATTCAAGGTCGCCGAAAGGCGATACATGAAAATATTTCTGATTTCTTCACAAAAATCTCCTGAAAAGCTCTAGGCCAATAATAAAAGACAAAACATTTTGATTTGAATTTATTAAAGGGCTGCCGACGGCATGTGTCGATCCCCCTCTTCAAAAAAATTGGCAAGTAGCCAGCAGGGCAGAGAGCGCGCCCTGGGGAGAGGCGCAGAGACATTTTCTTTCCAGCACGTAACCGATTGATTATGCCGTCGGCATCCCTTTAAATCTGGGCTAGAGCAGGTGTTCCAGCAAAACGCCCCCCCCCCCCCTCCCCCCAGTGAACAATGTTCGTATTTTTTACCCTTTAGCCATCACTCGTAATCTTTCGGTAAGACGAAGAAATTGCTTCTCTCCGTTTTATTATATTTTGAACATTTTGCACGCTTTGGAAGGCCCTTTTGTGAAACGGGCAGGCAAACCGTTCATGTTCTATCAAGGACGGTCCAAAACTTTCAAACAATAAACGACGACGAAAGTTTCTGAACGTATTATATTCAGTTAGAAAGCCCTTTGGGGTAACACCATCCGCATGCCCTTATGCTTATTAAGTGGCTTTTGCCAAAGGAAAAGAACTTAGTCTTAGTCTTATCGAAAATTGCCCGAAAAATTAGCAACACTTAGCGGGATTTAAAAATAAGAAAAACAAATCTTTACACCTTGCCTTGACGTCAAAACCGTATGAATCTGTCGTTGATTTGGGCCACTAGGGAGTGACTTTCCGTGGGAAACATTAAAGCCTAATTTTATTACGGACACAATCCGTTCAGCACCATTGGATGCGCCGCAAGAAGTGACAACCGACGTGGCCCTTGACAATACCATCACAATTGCCTGGGCACCTCCCCAGGAACCGAATGGACCCATTAAGGAATACACTGTCTACTTTGCACCTGATGACGGTACTGCTGACAGTGAATACACGGATTGGCCGAGAATACAGGTGTAGCACATACTTCCCAAATATCTCTGATTTATCATCTGCCTGAGTCGAACCCGGTGCTTTAGGTTCCTGCCATCAGCACAAATGGAGCCAACGTTACGATCCCACAGGAACAATACCAAATCTTGCCAAACACGCCTTATAAAATCAGGATATCTGGTATTGAGATACATGAGACCATAGCCACCTTTTTTTAGCGACGAACGACCTCAGCGAGGGGCCAGTTACTGAGGAAATTGTATTTGAAACGGGCAGTGGCGAAACAGCACCAGTCATTACGGTATTTTTTTTAATCAAGCTCTTGTTCAGCTACATAGGTCGATCACGAGTCACCGATTATGGTCGACCCGTTGGGGGCAGTTTCTGTCGTCTGTACGGCCACTGGTGTACCAACGCCGACGGTTAAATGGATTATTGACGACCAAGAGGTAGGTGTTGGCTGTAAACCGCTAACTGTAAAGTGTTTTTACTCAACTTGGAGTTTCGATTCGGGACCAAGCGCATCTTGTGCAGAATTTTTCGCTGATTCCGAATATGTTTTCCAAATTTGCTACGGACTTTTATTTAAAAAATCATTTTTGGTAACAATTAGGCCGAAAAATGCCAAAAATTCAGACGCTGGCCCACTATTCCTTGTTTGGGGCTATGGTTCCCAGGGGCCCTGAAGTACCCTCTGACAGCACCCTACTCAGTTGGTACCATGCTGCATTGACAAAGTACTCGCTTGCCAAGCGCAGGGCGGCGGTTCGAACCCCCGCCCTGCATCATTTCTTTTGCTTTTTGCATAAAAATCTCATTTTTTTATCTAAAATGCTTGTTTTGAGCTTTAGGATGCTTGTCGGGCCAACGTCTAGTCAATTTTGATGTTGAAATTAATGAAGAAAATCGAAAACTATAACGATACCTTCATTTTGGTGAAAACTAGGGTCATAATTTCCGTAGAACTTTCAGAATAACGGTCCGTAGCAAATTTGGACAACATATTCGGAATCAGCGAAAAATTCTGTACAAGATGCACTTGGTCCCGAATCGAAACTCCAAGTTGAGTAAAAACATTTTACAGTAAGCTTATAATAATCGGATGCAACAATGGTGCGTTGTAATTTCAGACCATCGAAGGTGGTGTTCTCCAAAAAACTGGACTGCTCCGCGATATTCACGCTTTGTGCGAAGCCGAAAACAATGCCGGAAAATCCGCGAAGCCTGTCCAAATTCAAGTAAAAGGACCGAGCACTCCGCCCAATGAGATCACTGTCCGTCCGCTACCGAAGCAAGACATCATCGTAGAATGGACAAACCCTGATGAGCCAAATGGGCAGATTACCGGATACATTGTACATTATGGAGAAGTTCCGGAAGGTGAGCCTCTAGCTACTTTTGCAAATCGTGGCAATTTTTAGGTTCGAATGAACCGGCCGAATGGAAGACGATCGAAGCTGGACCTGATGGAGTTTCACAAAAATTGGAGTCTTTGGAACCGAAGAAAAACTACGCGATCCGTATTCAGGCCGTCAGTGATAGGGGCCCAGGCGTGTTGTCACCGACTCAAACCGTCAAGACGCTGCCTCTTGGTTTGTGCTTCCCATTCCACGAAAAAAAAATTTTTAGCACCCGCCAAGATCGACGACGTGAAGGTGACGGTACATAAGAACAATTCCGTGTTTTTGGAATTCGCACCGCCCGCTGATCCAGAGGATCCTGGAAAGCACATCGGGGTAGGATTTTTACAGGATTGCTCCGTGATTTCTGCAGAAGTCTGATACAGTTTTTTGACAAATTTTACTATTTTAGGACTTTGTCGTCGAATACACAGAGGACGATCCACCAACCGATGAGACGGAATGGAAGGTCTTTACCTATCACGATCCAGAGCCGGAAGATTCGGAAGTTGTGGTCAAAATCGAGGAAGCCCTCGAGCCAGAAACGACCTATAATGTACGAGTGGCGGCAAGGGGAGAGGTTGATGGTGAACCATGTGATCCACTTGTCTTCACAACTGGCGACGGCAGTAAGCTCAGACGGATCTTGATAACTTCTTTTGCAGTCATTCCTCCATCCACCCCGGTTTTGAACGTCGACGCAGAGGATGATACGATTAATGTGCCAGCAGGCACGGATTATTCGATTGAATGCTCCAGCGATGGCCACCCTGATCCGGAGATCCAATGGCTTGATGAAAACGGAGAAGTAAGTTCAAAATTTGTAGTTTACCACATCTTTTAGCTATTATCTGATGGCAATAAGCTCACCCTGCAAGATATTCGACGAACGGTCGAAGCGAAATGCGTGGCTAAAAACGCCGGTGGTGAAAGCGAAGCTCCATTTACTATCCACGTCGCCGGTGAGGAAATCAGCCTTTAGAAATTTTCATACGGTTTTTCTCGGCCGATGGGCCAGACATCCGGTGGATTTTAGGCATGGAGGAGGACGACAAATAGATGCACCAAAAACCCGCTTTTGGGAAATATCTTTTTGTTTAACGAATAGACAAACAAAATGGAAATCCAGTGGAAAGTAGACGCGAAGTGGTCATTTTCAAATATCGTCCAATGATTAAAATTAATTTGAAAAGCTTTAGGCCCCGGCTCGGCACCAGAGGACGTTCATCTGACCGCTGACCGACCAAAAACAATCACAGCCATGTTTGATCCACCCGAGATCCGTAATGGTAACATCACAAAGTACATCGTCTATTACAAACCTCTGGCAGATCAGGTATGCAAAAAACCAGACTCTAACCTTAGCTTAGAACCCCAACAACCAAATCGGGCAGGTGGTGGAGGAGCCAGTTTCTTCATGGCCGAATATGCATCACGACCAGGGTGACCTGAACAATGGACCTCAGGTCAGACCATTCTTAATCGATCCGATCAATGATGGCTTAGACAGTGAACGTGAAACAATTCATCGAACCAGACACCGCATACGCTATAGTAGTGCAAGCCGTAAATGACGAGGGCAGCGGTCCCTATTCAAACCAATACACTATTCGTTCGATGAGCAAAGGTAGGGTTTTGCGATCGATCGACATTTCATCAAATTCGAATCGATATCGAATTTCTGAGTCCGCATTTTCTTCCACGGTTTCCAAAGCTTATTAAACATCTTATTTAGCCCGCATGGAGCCACCCGTGGATCTCGTCGTCAATCCAAATGGACAGAAATCGGCTAGCATTCAGTGGAAAGTAAGTACTGCTAAAAGAAAATTTTGCGTTATCCCTCTAAGGAGTTGGATATCCATTAACATGTATCCTACCCTTCTACAAAACCACTATGACCCAGACTCGGAATTTGTAGATGAATCCACCTCCGGATGATCAAAGACCGGTAGGATACGAAATTTTTTACGTGCCCGGAGACAAAAGCGTCGATGCGGATGAGCAAGCTTCATCGGATTGGTTCAAAATTTCCATCGACGATCCTGACAAACTGGCCCACGCCATTAACAACCTGCTTAATCCTGACACAGACTATGTGTTTAAGGTGAGACACTAGGGCATAAAGCTATCTCGTTCATTGACAGATCCGTGCCGTGTACGAAGATGGGCCAAGTGTCTTTTCGCAGCCATGCATTATGAAAACTCTTCCTGACGGTTCGGACTAAAATTCTGGTATCTCTCTGTTTAGGCACTGCTCCTTACATCACGGTTTCAAACGGCGACAATGGAGTCGAAGGGCTCACAGAAATCGATGTACTGCCCGGCTCAACAATTACTGTAGCCTGCAACGCCACCGGACATCCTCAACCGAAAGTTGAATGGATTCGTGCTGGAAGTGCTTCGATTGACCCCTCAACGGTAATTTTTGGTATTTTTGATAAAGTTGACCGAAGCCTTTGGTAAAAACAAATTTGTTTGAAAAATCGGTCGTAAAGGAGACAAACCCTCGACTGTGTTATGCCCTCAGGTTCACGCAGACGAGGTGGCCACAGCATTTTCGCTTCATGTCGCGAATTTGTCCGAAGACACGACGTTCAACTGTTTGGCCCAAAACTCGCTTGGAAAGGCAAACTGGACTATTTCCTTGAACATGCTTCCAGGTCTTTCCTTCGAATTTAGATGTATAAGTGAATTGCCTTTAGGCCTCAAGCCAAATTGGCAGGAAGACTTTGTAGTCGCTAAGATACACGATGGAATCCCAGTGTTGAAATTTACGGATTTTTTACCATCATACTTGAAAACACCGGTGAGCTCTTTCTTCTGGACCAAAGGCAATGCTGTGGCGCTTGATACCTCATCCATTTCAGAACGAGTGGCGCATCTACTATAGCGAAGACCCGGGTAAACGACGTGATGAATGGCATCAGATCGATGCTGAGGGACGACCGCTGTCGATTGTTCAGGTAAAATGATTGAACCTACGTACTTACCCTCGTCCTTCCTCATTTTATTTTTCGTGCGTCACTAAACAGCCTTATCGTTCATTAATTTTTATAGGCTCCAGATATGACATCTGGTACATTCTACTATGTTGTCGTGGCAAACCCGGAGCGTGGAATCGAGAGTCCGACCATCCTCGTCCAAACGCCAAGTAAGCGGTTTCTGCTGTCTTACTTCTAGACATTAAGAGCCGCCCCACGACCTGCGAGTTGGCACAAACATTAACGATGAGATCGTTATTGATTTCAAGCCGGCAATTTCATATCAACCGATTAAGGTACTTTCACACAATTATCCCGGTTTTGCCCTGTTTTAGAGTTATTCGATCCGCTACTGGCCAATCGGAAACGCTTCTGCTGTCCCACATAAAATCACAGTTGGTCCCGAAGAAACTTCTGCCGTGCTTTATCCAGTCCAGCGAGATTCTGACTATTACGTTAGCGTGAGTACTAGAACACGACGATACCAAAAATTCCAAGAATTAGCGGCAACGGGTCCGACCATTGAGAAAGAGTTGGCTAAGACAATCCCACGCCCATTCAGCATTCACGAAATAATTTAATAAAAAAGGAAAATGGTTATTAAACCCTAAGCATGCCAACCTCCGCACACCTTCAAAATTTAGTTATGGTTCTCACTTATAGGTAGCCGCGGAATATTTCGAAGATGACGAACTACCCAGCGATCCGGTGCAGATCCACACACCTCCTGGAGGTTGTTTCAAATGGTGGAGAATTCCGGGATGTTCGCCCTTATATCGTGACTTCCAAAGCCAAAATAGACACTTTGCGTCCAAAAAAAATAGTGCGAACCGCTCGTAACTCTCCGAACCAGATCCTTAAACCACCCTGAAGCCAAAACCGTCATTTAGAGATCAAGTGCAACTGCGCCCATGCCTGCCGGATCATTGAAAACGACGATGGCACTATGAACAGCGAATGCTACTGCCACCCGGGTTTTGAACTACAGGCTGATGGAGGATGCTTAGCTATTGATGAGACGCAGACCGAACCCAAGGTCATTCAGGCAAGTCTATTTACTAAGCCACCTCAATCAGAAAAGTAAAGTTAGTTCGCCTAAAACCCACCGCCACTTTTCAGGTTGATCCAACAGCATTGGGTGAAGGTATTCAACCAGTCGAGCTACAATCAACAACGAAAATGCCGCTATTGATCACCACCGATGCTGAAGGCAATCCCATTCCCCCGGTCGTTTCTCCGATTGGACGGCCACTCTCAATCAAAGATGGCGAATATGTGGACCCAAATGGCAAACCAATCCAAAGAAATGAGGCCCAGCGGCCAGTCGATCCGGCAGGGAATGAACTGCGCAAAAACGAGCAAGGAGAGGCCGTCTACCCCTACATTGATCCCAAAGGGGAAGCCCATCCGACCCCACCAGTGTTCACAGTAGTAGATCGAGACGGCACCTCACTAAATCCAGATGAAGATGGATGGATCTTTGCGATTGACGGAGTAAAAATTGATACCGATGAGTGGGGCCGGCCAGAAGGAGACGGCGTAATAAAAACCCCCGATGGTGGCTATGTAGTCGTAACGGCAGACAATGAAGGACCCGATCTCAGACTAGTCACCGAAGAGCCAGAGCCGACGCTGCCCCCAATCTCCGTCGTCGACACCCAAGAAGCTCCGCTACCCACCGATCATTATGGAAACCACCTTCTTCCCGTTTATGACCAAACATCACAGCTTCTACCCACCGATTCCACCGGACACCACCTCAGCCCAGCAGGAGATCAGATCGCTCAAAACGATGAAGGTCTTCCGATCGGCGCCGACGGAGAGGTGCTACCAACAGATGCTACTGGCAAATACATCTTCCCGGAGCCTAGCACAGAAGCCACTACTCCCTTCACTATCATCGTTGGCCCCGACGGCACCCCGCTGCCCACAGATGCAAACGGCAGAGCCATTGCCGATGATGGAGAGCCCGTTGCAACGAACAGCGATGGAATTCCGGTAGATCAGGACGGCCAGGCTCTACCAACCGACGGCGAAGGTCGCTTTGTCTACATCGCAACCTCGGAACCTGCCAGCGCCAGCGATCAACCGGCCACCGACTCTAGCGGCAAATTGATCATTCCAATCGTTTGGCCCGATGGAACGCTGCTCCCGACCGATTCTACGCAAGAACATGTGCTCGATGACGGATCCCCGATCCCACGTGATGACGATGGAAGGCCACTTGGCTTGAATGGCGACGTTCTGCCAACGGATGACTCCGGAAGATGGGTCTACGTCAGTGCCGAGCCTGAAGCTGAAGCAACACCAAGCGAAGAACCAACTGCTGAGCCAACGCATCCAGTGGTCGTCGTCGGCCCAGATGGCACGCCTTTGCCTACGGATGCCTCCGGCGCCCATGTTGCCGAAGATGGACAAATCATCAGCAAGGACGACGAGGGACGCCCGTTGTCACCCGATGGAGGCGTGTTACCGACTGATGGAGAAGGGCGTTACGTATTTGTTCCCACCGACCAACCAGTGCCCACACATAAACTTCCCACTGATGAGACGGAACGAGAAGAAGCAACAACTGAGACCACGCTCATCGTTGGCCCAGACGGAACCCCGTTGCCTACGGATGCCAGCGGTGCTCAGGTTGATGCTCAGGGCCAGCCAATTCCCACGAACAGTGAAGGAAAGCCTGTCGATGAAGATGGTCAAGTTCTTACGACCGATTCGGAAGGCCGCTTCGTTTTCGTGCCCACCAGCGAGCCAACGACTGAGGAGCCCAAGCCGACCGATGAATACGGAAATCCGATTGTGCCAGTCCACCGCCCCGACGGCGAGCTTCTTCCTACCGATTCCACCGGACACCACCTCAGCCCAGCAGGAGATCAGATCTCACAAAACGATGAGGGTCTTCCGATTGGCGTGGACGGAGAAGTGCTGCCAACAGATGCTACTGGCAAATACATCTTCCCAGAGCCCAGCACAGAAGCCCCCACTCCATTCACCCTGATCGTGGGCCCTGACGGAACTCCGCTGCCCACAGATGCAAGCGGAGCTCAAGTCGATGCCAACGGAGAGCCGATTCCAACGAACAGCCAAGGACAGCCTGTCGATGCTGATGGCCAGGTTCTAACAACCGATTCGGAAGGCCGCTTCGTTTTCATGCCCACCAGCGAGCCAACGACTGCGGAACCCAAGCCGACCGATGAATACGGAAACCCGATTGTGCCAGTGCATGCTGCCGATGGACAACTACTCCCCACTGATTCCACCGGACACCACCTCAGCCCAGCAGGAAATCAGATCTCACAAAACGATGAGGGTCTTCCGATTGGCGCGGACGGTGACGTGCTGCCAACAGATGCTACTGGCAAATACATCTTCCCAGAGCCCAGCACAGAAGCCCCCACTCCATTCACCCTAATCGTGGGCCCAGACGGAACCCCGTTGCCTACGGATGCCAGCGGTGCCCAGGTTGATGCTCAGGACCAGCCAATTCCCACGAACAGTGAAGGAAAGCCTGTCGATGAAGATGGCCAGGTTCTTACGACCGATTCGGAAGGCCGCTTCGTTTTCGTGCCCACCAGCGAGCCAACGACTGAGAAGCCCAAGCCGACCGATGAATACGGAAACCCGATTGTGCCAGTGCACGCTGCCGATGGACAACTACTCCCCACCGATTCCACCGGACACCACCTCAGCCCAGCAGGAGATCAGATCGCTCAAAACGATGAAGGTCTTCCGATCGGCGCCGACGGAGAGGTGCTACCAACAGATGCTACTGGCAAATACATCTTCCCGGAGCCTAGCACAGAAGCCACTACTCCCTTCACTATCATCGTTGGCCCCGACGGCACCCCGCTGCCCACAGATGCAAACGGCAGAGCCATTGCCGATGATGGAGAGCCCGTTGCAACGAACAGCGATGGAATTCCGGTAGATCAGGACGGCCAGGCTCTACCAACCGACGGCGAAGGTCGCTTTGTCTACATCGCAACCTCGGAACCTGCCAGCGCCAGCGATCAACCGGCCACCGACTCTAGCGGCAAATTGATCATTCCAATCGTTTGGCCCGATGGAACGCTGCTCCCGACCGATTCTACACAAGAACATGTGCTCGATGACGGATCGCCGATCCCGCGTGATGACGATGGAAGGCCACTTGGCTTGAATGGCGACGTTCTGCCAACGGATGACTCCGGAAGATGGGTCTACGTCACTGCCGAGCCTGAAGCTGAAGCAACACCAAGCGAAGAACCAACTGCTGAGCCAACGCATCCAGTGGTCGTCGTCGGCCCAGATGGCACGCCTTTGCCTACGGATGCCTCCGGCGCCCATGTTGCCGAAGATGGACAAATCATCAGCAAGGACGACGAGGGACGCCCGTTGTCACCCGATGGAGGCGTGTTACCGACTGATGGAGAAGGGCGTTACGTATTTGTTCCCACCGACCAACCAGTGCCCACACATAAACTTCCCACTGATGAGACGGAACGAGAAGAAGCAACAACTGAGACCACGCTCATCGTTGGCCCAGACGGAACCCCGTTGCCTACGGATGCCAGCGGTGCCCAGATTGATGCTCAGGGCCAGCCAATTCCCACGAACAGCGAAGGAAAGCCTATCGATGAAGGTGGCCAGGTTCTTACGACCGATTCGGAAGGCCGCTTCGTTTTCGTGCCCACCAGCGAGCCAACGACTGAGGAACCCAAGCCGACGGATGAATACGGAAACCCGATTGTGCCAGTGCATGCTGCCGATGGACAACTACTCCCCACCGATTCCACCGGACACCACCTCAGCCCAGCAAGGAATCAGATCGCTCAAAACGATGAGGGTTTCCCTATTGGTGTGGACGGAGAAGTGCTGCCAACAGATGCCACTGGCAAATATATCTTCCCAGAGCCCAGGACGGAAGCCCCCACTCCATTCACCCTGATCGTGGGCCCTGACGGAACCCCGTTGCCTACGGATGCCAGCGGTGCCCAGATTGATGCTCAGGGCCAGCCAATTCCCACGAACAGCCAAGGACAGCCTGTCGATGCTGATGGCCAGGTTCTAACAACCGATTCGGAAGGCCGCTTCGTTTTCGTGCCCACCAGCGAGCCAACGTCTGAGGAACCCAAGCCGACCGATGAATACGGAAACCCGATTGTGCCAGTGCATGCTGCCGATGGACAACTACTCCCCACCGATTCCACCGGACACCACCTCAGCCCAGCAGGAGATCAGATCGCTCAAAACGATGAAGGTCTTCCGATCGGCGTGGGCGGAGAAGTGCTACCAACAGATGCTACTGGCAAATACATCTTCCCGGAGCCTAGCACAGAAGCCACTACTCCCTTCACTATCATCGTTGGCCCTGACGGAACTCCGCTGCCCACAGATGCAAGCGGCAGAGCCATTGCCGATGATGGAGAGCCCGTTGCAACGAACAGCGATGGAATTCCGGTAGATCAGGACGGCCAGGCTCTACCAACTGACGGCGAGGGTCGCTTTGTCCACATCGCAACCTCGGCACCTGCCAGCGTCAGCGAGCAACCGGCCACCGACTCTAGCGGCAAATTGATCATTCCAATCGTTTGGCCCGATGGAACGCTGCTCCCGACCGATTCTACGCAAGAACATGTGCTCGATGACGGATCCCCGATCCCACGTGATGACGATGGAAGGCCACTTGGCTTGAATGGCGACGTTCTGCCAACGGATGACTCCGGAAGATGGGTCTACGTCACTGCCGAGCCTGAAGCTGAAGCAACATCAAGCGAAGAACCAACTGCTGAGCCAACGCATCCAGTGGTCGTCGTCGGCCCAGATGGCACGCCTTTGCCTACGGATGCCTCCGGCGCCCATGTTGCCGAAGATGGACAAATCATCAGCAAGGACGACGAGGGACGCCCGTTGTCACCCGATGGAGGCGTGTTACCGACTGATGGAGAAGGGCGTTACGTATTTGTTCCCACCGACCAACCAGTGCCCACACATAAACTTCCCACTGATGAGACGGAACGAGAAGAAGCAACAACTGAGACCACGCTCATCGTTGGCCCAGACGGAACCCCGTTGCCTACGGATGCCAGCGGTGCTCACGTTGATGCTCAGGGCCAGCCAATTCCCACGAACAGTGAAGGAAAGCCTGTAGATGCAGATGGTCAAGTTCTTACGACCGATTCGGAAGGCCGCTTCGTTTTCGTGCCCACCAGCGAGCCAACGACTGAGGAGCCCAAGCCGACCGATGAATACGGAAATCCGATTGTGCCAGTCCACCGCCCCGACGGCGAGCTTCTTCCTACCGATTCCACCGGACACCACCTCAGCCCAGCAGGAGATCAGATCTCACAAAACGATGAGGGTCTTCCGATTGGCGTCGACGGAGAAGTGCTGCCAACAGATGCTACTGGCAAATACATCTTCCCAGAGCCCAGCACAGAAGCCCCCACTCCATTCACCCTGATCGTGGGCCCTGACGGAACCCCGTTGCCTACGGATGCCAGCGGTGCCCAG